TCCACTTCAGTGACGAAAACCACACTGATGACGCGCATGACCCCGTTTGCTTTGTATTTAAAATAGTTGTTAAATACTTTTGTCAAAACGGGGTAAACAATACACAATTAGTATGCTGTTTTTTGTCAAAAATAATAAAAATAAAAATAAATTAAAAGCCGGCGGGAGGTGATTGACGAATCAAAACAGCGAATCAGAGCGCACAGGCTCCGGCTCCCGAGTCCAGCGTCTGTGGTCTGGTCTCACGGACACCACATAGAGCTGCTGTTTTTATGCTTTTGTCAGAAACTAAAAGTGTTAGGATCACGTCAACTTGAATGAAGTGTGTTATGGGTGTAAATATGTGACACACTATTTGGCCCTAAGAGGAAGAAAGCGGCTCGACTTTTTTCATCTGTTCATCTCATGGATCTATTATAATACCGGTTCATCTGCGACACTTCACTGAGACTGTTCCAGAACTACAGGGACAATGGAACTGGACTTACTCAAAGGCTGATCTGGAAACACGTTATTCCCACGGTAAAAGACGTAACTCGGACCCCCTTGATCTGTAATTAGTGACGCTAACTCGCTGTATACTTCTGTAAACTAAATAACTAGGGTCTGATTGTGCATCGAGGACATAGGGCTCGATGTGACGGATTGTCATTGTTGGAAAAAGTTTATTCTTATGTATGAAATTACTAAGTACAGGTGATAAACGACAAAAGCGTGCGGGCGGGGGGAGGCGGGCTCACAGGCAGAGGAGCAGACTCTTCTCTGGATCAGCTCGTTTGAGTCGAGGTGACGTCACCTCTATACAAGAGATGGCTCTAATCTCACAAGCTTTGATTGTTGTGTGGTGTATCATACACATTAATATCACACATGTGTATAGGATTGAGTGTGAAACATGAAGAAAAGCGTGATATAGGACCTTTAAACATTTGTGATCATTTATTCACAATTGTATGCAATTGTATCTACAGTCACATGCAAAAAAACTGCTAATACTGTAATATTAAAGAGGAACTTAAAAGACTTTCTCTCTTGAGTGTAAATAATTGAGTTCTCTCTGCATTAAGCATATTAAAGATAATTGAGACAATAGTGGCTAAAGATTCCATGCGGGCCACACATGGTTTAGTTGGATGGACTCTATGTCTTGCATGTTTCTTTCTATGGTTTCTGTGTAGTTCTAGAAACATTTCACACTCGTATGGACAACAGTAAATCCATCCATCCATCTTCTCCTTCCCCTTTATCCATTTCTGGGTCGAGGGGGGGGGGGGGGGGGGGGGTTTGTTTTCATAGAACTCAGATAGTGACGCCCAAAACGCGTTTGGTCTGAACGCAGCATAACAGCTGCGGCATCTGCTTAGCTGTTGAGAGAGGTCAACTTTGCCGTGTGGCTCAAGCATAGACTGCAAGACCACAGTAAGTACATACTAAAAGCAATGCTGCCATCTAGTGTTAATACAAGTACATACCAGATAGGAGCTTTCATGGAACCTATTGGCTTTAGTTCAATTAATAGACATGAAGCTGAACTGGCATGCAATCACAAACATTTTGAATATTAAACATTATATATATTGTATTGACATAACCGGCCAACAAATACTTATTTTTAGGGTTGTAACAATTATCCACACCTCATAATCACTAAAAGTTTAGTCACATAATAATCAATTGCATCTGTTTTTGGGACTCTTGTGAATGATAAAAACAGTTTTTTTCCCCTTTAAATATAATCTATTATAAATTTGCCCAGGCAGCTTCACTTCCTTTCATGAGTCAGGTTGAGATTTTAAAAGAATCGCCATAATTCATATGGATGAAAAATTTTATGTTACAGTCCTAGTTTATCTGAAAGAGTTTTTAGTCAATTGATTTGTGGTGTACTCAAAATAAGAATACATTTTTAAAAAACAAATATTCACCATTTTGTAAGAACTCTGAATGACACAGGGACTGGCCTGCTCCTGCTGGTACTCTGAGAAGCATAAAGACTGGTGGTGCACAAAGTCAGGATTAGCACGGACATTTATCCAGCTAAAATCTGGAACCACCTTCCTGAACATTTGAGACAGGCTTTTACTCTGACAATGTTTGAATCCAGACGGTTTGTTATACACTTGTGCTGCCTGATACTAATTTCAAAGAAGCAATGAACATACCAAGCCATTTTTAAAAGGGAACCTCTTTTCCTTAAAACATTTACCATGGGCTCTGGAGTGCTTGTCCCCTGGAGGACAACCAGCTCTGAAGCCCTCTTTAAAAAGGTAAATTACAGTCTCTTTGGATAAGTTAGGTGAATTGAGAATCTGTGGTTGTCTATACTCTCGCTCTTGCTTGCTGTTCTTTGCGACATACTCACACTTGTATTTAAAGATCTTATTATAATTTTCTGAATTGTAGTGTCAGGGAATAAATCAAATAATTTAACATGGAGCAGAAGACAGGTGAAGATGGAGCTGAAGGAAAGAAGAAGCTAAAGTTCTCACTAAAAGAAAGCTGAAAGACTTGGACCAATAATAATAAAATAAATGTCATGCCTAAAAGAGCAACACTTTGGCTTCATTATAGCAACACATTGGCATTATAAAATGCTTTCATTTATTAGTGAATGTAAACAAAGACAATATGTCTTAGTTCTAAATACATTGAAACCGGAAAAAATATGAACATGGGATTTTTCTGTTACTTTTTTATTCAAATATGATGTTGGATTATGATTTTGGATACTTATTGAGGACATGGGCAAGACATTGAACATAGTGCAGAACTAGAAAGAATAGTCCATGACATGAATTATGTAGAGCAAAAGGAGAACAGGTGACTTTACACACAAACACACAAGCAGGATACTATGACCTTACCACTTGGAAAACTGTTCCACATCCATGGCTGCTGAAAACTAATAGAAAATTTATCATAGACTTCATAGACGTTAAGAAAGCTTTCGATACTCTAAACCACAATATTCTACAGCAAGAACTAAAAAAATATTGATTTCCAGGACTTTCATATTCATGATACCAATATGTTGAGATTGAGAATGAAAAATCAGAACTATTAAATGTTATCTGTGGCATCTCTCAGGGATTTATGCTGAATTATGTCTCTTTTGCGGATTATACCACTATTAATTGTGCAGGTGATGACATAAATCAGCTTGTACAATTGGTGGAGATGGAATTGCGTAACACAAAATTATGATTTGACATTAAAACAAATTATCACAAAATACTGGAAAAACTTAATACATAAAATTTGAGACACAGAAAAAGTCCAATCAAGTTCAAATTAAGTTTAACAATATTCCTCTGGAATGAGAAAACAAGTTCCTGGGACTACAGATATGAACTCAATTGCACAAACAACATTTGTAAAATGTATCCAATGTATCTTTTATTATTATTTTCAAGATAGAGATAATATACGTTTATTGATGCTAGAGTTAGAGATTTTGTTTTATTTTTATCAGTATAGCTATTGTCCACTTAACTTGGGCCGTGTGCTCCTCTTTCTGTTCTATAACTTGTGATGCAACACTGAAATTTCCCCACTTTGGGACAAATAAAGGATCTCGTAATCTTAATGTTAAATAAAAGCAATATTAAATAAAAGCTATATTATCATATATTTAGCATATGACTAGGAAGGTAAGACTCAGGGAAGGCTAAACTCCTCAGACTGTCAGTCAAGCTGCATAGGGAGTCAGTTTTCTGGGAGAAGTATGGTAACTTGAGCACTATCCTCTCCTCCTTCCTACTTTATCTACTTCATCTGTTTAGCATTATTAGGATTTTGACTGTAGTTTGTTCATTGCTATTCACCCGTTGTCCCATTGTCTGTTTCATGGTACGATGACGGGATCTCTGAGCCTGGCCTCCTCCATCTACACCTGCGGACTGCCCCGCCCGACCCGCCTGGGAGTGCTTCAGTCTTGCACCGGACCTGTCCACGTTCAGCGGCCACTGGTCCACGTTCTGTAGCTAGCTTAGGTCCTAGATCATTAGCCTGTCCGTCCGGAGGAGCGGATCCCTTTCTCAAATGGGTCTCCCTCCCTGTGGATTTCCCCAGTTCTCCCCAAGGTTTCTCACTTTTTCCCACTGGGTTTTTTAAGAGTTGTTCCTTGTGGATGCAGGAGGGTCTTGTTGGACAGTTAGTTTCCAACAGAAAGGATTGGCGATGATCAGGACACTTTAGCATTCTACAACATGTATGGAAATTTTCTTCTGTGTGTGCTTTATATTCTTCATGTGTTTTAACTGTTGATTCTCTGACCTGTGTTGGTGATTTCAATGGTTTTGTTAAGTCCTCTGAGATGACTTCTGTTGTGACCTAGGGCTATACAAGAATAAATTGTATTGTATTGTATCAAAAAATAGATATAAAACTAATCAATTTTCACCTTGCAAAAAAGACAATAATGCAATATACAATACTCTGATTCCAGTATTCTAAAAACAACTTTTATTATTATTATTGTTATTATTTATTGTTTGTTAATGAACACCTCAGTCCAGAATGGAGGCTAATTTGCATCCGTTGTCCCATGTTCACGCTCACAAACACACACTCTAAACTATTGTACATGTTTGTAGTGGTAGAGGAAACCTGCGCACACACGGGAAGAACGTGCAAACTCCACTCAAAAAGGACATGGTCTGACCAGGATTCGAACCGAGAACGTTCTTGCTGAGAAGCAAGAGTGCTTCCCACGCAGCCACCGTACCGCCTATCCTCAACATTTTCTATATTATAAAAGAATAAGTCATGCTATTTAGAGATGCTCCTTGGTGAATAAGTTTCCCCACATGCAATGAGTGTGTATTGAATATTACTATGGAGTTATAGTTCTGTGATACAAGTCTATATTTACACCATCGTTATACTTATGAAACCCCGCCTAGACCCGACGCGGTCTGATGTATTGTCCAATCAGACACCTGCGAGAAAGATTGACATTGCATTCGGACGGTTGTATTCGGTTTCCATGTGGTTTCCAGGAAGCAGTCTGGCAAACCCTCCTCCCACATGTGAGCCCCATCGAAAGCACCACGCGCAGCAGGCGAAACCCGGTCTGGAAGGCAACGTCATTACTCGGACCACAGACTCACCGGAGCAGAGCGCGGAGTGGCGTTGTCCGAGGTAGGCTACCGTGCCGCTTTTATACAGTCACACGTGCTGCGATCGCCGGCCTAGCGAGGAGGTATTTTGCGTGGGCTATCCGGAGCAGTTTAGGTGAAAGTAGGTCGTATTAGATAAGAACAGGGTGGACGCTAGGGCCTTGCAGACAGTAGGCCCGCTATTCTCCCCGCGCTGTGTTCATCACGGCTGCCCCAGAGTGGTCTTTCCCTCCCGGGCCGTGGAGCTGCCTGTGCCGTTCAGGTGCCTTTCCAGCCACCTTTCCACGAATTGGGGAAGGTATAATTCATCATTTGATTTGCAGTTCCGCTAATCGTTTGAGTGTTATGTTACCATCAGACTTGTGTAAGCGATCAGTCAACTTTAATTTGTATTGTTTTATCTTAGGTGCTGAAGCTTTTTAAGCGGAAAGATGGCGGACGACCCTAGCGCAGCGGACAGAAACGTGGAGATATGGAAAATCAAGAAACTGATCAAAAGTTTGGAAGCAGCCCGCGGGTGAGTAAATCATCGGCTTCTACAACACGCCTTCTCGGTGCCTTGTGGTGTGTAGTTTTAGAGACGATTGGAGTCATGTGTGCCACAGCTGGAGATAGGATATGCAGGCCGTTTTGGGAGTGGTAGCTTCAACGGCTAAGCTAAGTTAGCTTAGTACCGGTTGTTCTCTTTTGTCGCAATGACATAGTGTTTCTGGTTAAAATCGTATATTATATCTGCTATGTGCACTCTGTTGTTCGACTAGGCTGTTGTCTTGTCAACAATTTTGATGTGAAGAAGAAGTTGTTGAGTTTGTAGCTATTGAGACAGGCTAATAGACGTCATTGCTGTGGAGAGGCCGCCATGGGTGTCTTTACTAAAAGAGCACGTTGGGGCTTACAGAGAGCCGCCGAGCCAGTGTCGTTTCATTTAACTCTGTGATAATAAGTGATTACTCCTAATTATTTCATGTACATGTCCCAGTGCTCCAGTGCCAACGGGTAGAGTTGTGTCGGTCATAACGGTTTTATTATACTTTGACACCACTACAAACCTCAATAACACGCACATTAACTGCTTATGGTGACGAATATAATTACTCCCTAAATGGTGTGTCCTTTATAAACACTTCGGCGTTAGGCTTTGCGGAGACTCTGTCCTTAGCTTGACCGCTTGTCAAGTTATGTTTGATCCTTAAATATAACACGGTATTTTTGAATGAATTTAATTTAACTAAATTGTTGTATGATACTACTGTAACTATCAAATGGATGTTTATAATTGAACACGTAACATAACTTAGTTGTTCAACAACTGCTCCATGTCCAGCTTTGGCCTTTGTTTGGTCAAGGTGATATCTTCTCATTGGTCTCTATCTTTAATTTATTTTAGTCAAATGCATGTTTTGAAATATATGTACATATATTTTTTATATAAATATTTTTTTGCAGTGCTTTTGTATTAGGTAATAATTCATTCTTTGTATTTACTGTTTATAGAAATGGCACCAGTATGATCTCGTTGATCATTCCTCCAAAGGACCAGATATCCAGAGTAGCCAAGATGTTGGCTGATGAATTTGGCACCGCATCAAACATTAAAAGCAGAGTCAATCGGCTCTCTGTACTTGGAGCCATCACATCTGTACAGCAAAGACTAAAACTGTACAACAAAGGTATGCCTATTGCCAAAATGTTAACTTCATATATTAGTTGTTTGTACATATGACAGTATATTCAGTATCCTGTCATATGTACAAACTACTCTTTGAATTAATTAAACATGTTTTGGTAAACATTATTTTTTCATACATTCTGACTTTCACAGTGCCACCAAATGGTTTGGTCGTGTACTGTGGCACCATTGTCACTGAAGAAGGCAAAGAGAAGAAGGTCAACATTGACTTTGAACCTTTTAAGCCAATCAACACTTCCTTGTATCTTTGTGACAACAAGTTTCATACAGAGGTCAGCCGATTTTTTTTTTTTTAATCTTTTAATACTGCATTTACTGTTCTCTTTACAATTGATACATGTTGCAAATTAACAAAGACAATGGCTGGGGAAAGAATTGGGAATGTAAATGAATGACAAATATGGTCTGAACTTGAATTTATTGTTAACCTGTTATCCATTTCTTTATTATTAACACAGGCATTGACAGCTCTACTCTCAGATGACAGCAAGTTTGGCTTCATTGTGATAGATGGAAGCGGTGCACTGTTTGGTACACTGCAGGGGAATACCAGAGAGGTACTGCACAAGTTCACTGTGGACCTTCCGAAGAAGCACGGTAAGGAAGGACCTAGTTGTCAATTGTGTATTTATATATGTAATGAAAATGTTAACTGTATATATCATATTTCAGGCAGAGGAGGACAATCCGCTCTACGTTTTGCTCGCTTGAGAATGGAAAAGAGACACAACTACGTTAGAAAAGTGGCTGAAACTGCAGTGCAGCTCTTTGTTTCCAATGACAAAGTTAATGTGGCAGGAATGGTCTTGGCTGGATCCGCTGACTTTAAAACTGAGCTCAGCCAGTCTGACATGTTTGACCCAGTAAGTCCCTAAATCCACATGTTTTTACACATTTATGTATAACATGTTTTAATTTGACCAAGCATCTATACTATTTTTCCCACAAAAGAGATTACAAGCAAAAGTATTGAAGCTAGTGGACATTTCCTATGGAGGAGAGAATGGATTTAACCAGGCAATCGAACTATCGGCAGAAGTTCTCTCAAATGTCAAGTTCATCCAGGAGAAGAAACTTATTGGTGAGTTCTCAAGGATCTCTTGCCGAACTAGTTGTTAATAATATATAGCTCGATTTACTACAATTGAATGCAACAAAAAACCAATCTTTTTTTCATTAATTTTCCTTAGGCCGATACTTTGATGAAATCAGTCAGGACACAGGAAAATACTGCTTTGGAGTGGAGGACACTCTCAAAGCCTTGGAGATGGGAGCAGTGGAAATACTTATAGTCTACGAGAACTTGGACACCATGCGCTACATTCTACGAGTGCACGGGGCTGAAAGCAATGGCGCTGAAAATGGTAAACAACTGAAAGTAGTATACTGAAAGTATAGTAAAGTAACTGAAAGTGAATACGGTTCCTTTTTTGTTTCACACTCAAAATAATGTCATTTCCCAGATGAGAAGACTTTATATCTAACGCCGGAACAAGAAAAAGACAAATCACACTTCACAGACAAAGAGGTTGGCATAGAAATGAAACATTGATCTGTTTTTTTGACATGGTTATAAGGATTTGCCCTTCACTTTAAAGACGGGGCAGGAACATGAGCTCATCGAGAGCATGCCTCTGTTGGAGTGGTTTGCCAACAATTACAAGAAATTTGGAGCCACCTTGGAGATCGTCACAGACAAAAGTCAAGAAGGTTCTCAGTTTGTTAAGGGCTTTGGAGGCATTGGAGGTGAGTCATTTTAGCATTATTGTGAGATATTTCTCATTATAAATGACACAATGGAACGCAACAGTTCCTCTAGTTGAGTATTATTCGTACATGCGTATATTCTTTAGACCAAGCAGGACATAAACATCCATTATGTTAAGTCAATAAATACTACAGTCCGTCATCTGTGCTTACCCACCACCCGGTACATTTGAGGAGACATGTAGTTAAACAAATGGCAAGAGGACTTCTTGTGAATCAGGACTTTGAATGAATTGTGTCATGTCAATAAACGGGTTGTAAGCATGAGTGGGTGTGTCCAATCTTTCACACAAATAATGTAACACAAAAGTTCATTATAAACCAGTGAACGTTTTCTTAACAATTTAAAAAGTAAATTTGCATGCACAACTTCAAAGTTAAAGCTATCTGCTCTCTATGGAAGTCGCCACAAAAGTCAAATTGTGACTTAGGTAGAATATCTGAAATTGTCACATTTGTTTTATTTAGATTCTTTTCGTGTGCTTGGTGTACACTGTTCCTACCTATGTTATGTGTGTGTGTCTCTTTATGTAAATAGTTATAATGGTGACTCATTTCTTTTTCCCAGGTATCTTGCGGTACAGAGTGGATTTCCAGGGCATGGAGTACCAAGGAGACGGCGACGAGTTCTTTGATTTGGATGACTACTAGGTAGTCGGTGACTGATATTTGGAGATAAAACATGCAATGGAATTAATGAAGAATTAAAGAGACCTCTGTTGCAAATGAGAGGTGCAACAGCATTGACCTGACTGTATACAGTACAATATGAGACCCGTTTCCCAAATTTTCTGTTGCGTATGTGCACACAGATTTAGTGTACGCATTGCAGACTACATCACAGGCTGAAGAGGAGTGTAATTTCCAGCAAGGGAGAAAGCCCTTCCTGAATAAATCCCTGCCTTAGAGTGCTGGTTCCTTCCCCAGTTGGATTGGACTCGACTCATTTTCTTAATTTTTTTCCTTCTCCCCTCCATTTTGAACAAACAACAGCAAGTTCCCAGATTCGCCGCTGCCCTTTTCTTGGTCTAAAGAAGAACTTTGGACTTAACAAAAGTATATTTTCCTTCATTGCCTCATCATGTCCTTCCTCTTCTCTTCTATGCTTTCTCTATATTTTGCATTTCATTTTTTTTACTGGTAACTGCTGCTGTTGTCTTTTATGAGAGTGGGGGATTTTTTTTACCTGGGTTTCTGTAGAGAAAGGGGGGACAAAGTATTAAATTTAAACTGCTGAAAACCATTGCTACCTCATCTGCTGTGGTCTGTTTGCTCATTGGTTGGACTCTTGAATTCTGAGCTGGCCCTGGCTTTAAACATAATGTCTATTATTATTGATTTTAAGAATTACAGCTATATCATTGGTGGCCAAAAGTCATAATTGTTCCTACTGTATCTGAACAGCATCTCTACAGTTTCAGTATATACTTTGCGCACAATTCCATACTTTGTGCTGTGAGAAAGTTTCCACTGCCAAGGTTCACAGTGGGACATGGAAACTTTTCAGAACAAATCTTTCAGACTAATGTGTTATGAATGTATTTTAACATGGTGAATGTTGTGTAATTTTTTCATCAATTAAGGTATGTCTGATGAACAGTGTGTTACTCCAAATGACCACTACAAAACGAATGCAGTTTTGTAAGGACTTTTCTATTACCATTACTTGAGTGATACTTTATCATGATATAAATTGCCAAAAAATACGAAATAGTTGGTGATGCGTCTTTGCGGATGCCTAATTAGTATATATATTTTTTTCCCTACTTAATTCTTGAGGATAGCAACAGCATCTTCATCCATTTGCCCTTTTGTTTGGGGGAGTTACCGGGGAAGCCTTGGTGGCACGCTAAGCCAATCAATATCAGGCTGAGCTACGAAACCGCTCCCTTCTGGATGAGATTGAGCCAATCGGTATAATGTTCACTTATAGAAGGGCGGTTCCCTCCGCCCCTTCTTCTGACACTACCCTGTACCAACTGTGCGCCTGGACCGAGTGAATGACGTCTCTGCATTTGCGGGCCGCCGACGCAGGGCTGGGTTTCCATTTTCAGAGCGAGTTTCGGGGGGGATCGTCAACATGGAGCCGGAGATGGAGGACAAAACGCTAGAACTAATGGTAAGTTTAATTCTAAGATGGCGACATACACCGACATTTTTTAGTAATCATGTCCAATTTGGATATAGACGCCTCGACTAAGCGCTATGTCTGAAGCGGGCGGGATAGGCGGAGGAGAAAGGAGGGGGACTAGAAATCAGAGGGCCTGAAATTATCAATACATTTTTAGTCATGGGGGTTATTTGTCTACATTGAAATAGTGGAACGTGATTATAAACTGCATTTATCATGGCGATCGTTGTACGTACACAATTGTTTTATTCAAAGAGGCCACGTAAAATGTTGGTGTTGATCGCCAGGCGAAGTCGAACCTGGATTCTTGAGGAGCGTTCACTGCGGTGACGCTGCGCCACTTGAGCTGGGCCTTGTCTGCTAACTAGCTCAGAGCTAACGCCGAGCACACCGCAAAGTACCCCGTAAATGTTCGCTTGTGTTCACTTTAATTCAAACAAAACTTGAGACACGGTGTTTTTCATATTCCGACATGGACAATATTTCCAAACTATGTACTTAATGCCCAAACCCAAATGTTGGTTTGTTTATAATTGTGAACTGCGTAGAAGGAAGTAACGCTGTGTTGCTTTTTTCATTCACGAGTAGCTCTAGCGATTAGCTAAAGCTAACTTCCTAATGGCTTGGTTTATGTGAACAGTCCTTCGAGCGCAGTCTGATTATTATTGCTAAAACGATGTCAACTTCTGTCTAATATGTTTTCTGGTATTTTGTTTAGACCATTTTAATGTATCGCGACGGGTTATGAGGTTTGGCTATCGTTAGCCACCAGGCTAGTGGGTTAGCAGTCGGGGAAAGGATTGTGTTCAAAGTGGTCTTACGACATAAAAATCATTTCTTTTTGTATGGAATTGTAGCATCTTTCAATATTGTGCGTGTTTTAAGCTTTACATGATGAAACATTAGGATTTACAAGATAAAACATTAGCTGTTTTATTCGGATAAGTGTCTTATTCATGGAGCTGTACTTCCTGTTTCGTGCATTTTGATGAACCTTTGACGATCATATTTAAATGGCTTGGCACGGTCAATATTACACCTTTTTATTTAAAGCCATGAATAGATTTTCTGTTAGCCTCTGCACATTAGGTATAAGCAAACAATTCATATTCATCTTCAGACAGGATTTTATCAAATGTGCCAAAAACACCGTGAAGAAGTTATGTGTTATGTGCTGTAATGAGTAGAAGTATTCGCATTAACTACTTGAGCTCACAACAAGTCTATTTACTGAAGATGCTTTTTTGTGGATTCGCAGGAGATGTATATTTTGAACAGATGATTTGCAGAGGCATGTGTGTTGCCCCCTCTAATCCACGTCTATTAATGGTGCTGTATGTGTGTGTGTGTGTGTGTGTGTATCACTCTGTTTTGCACTCACTGCCAATTTGTGTAGCTCTAATACTGGTTTTTCCCCTCACTATTTCTCCCACCTCTTCCCTTGTTCCTCTTTACTCACCTACAACAATTACCAACCCGGCATTGTTTATTTTTCATTTCTGTACTATCTCTACCTGTCTTTGTCCTTCTGACCACTTCACCTATCTGTCCATTCACCAAATCACCACCTTTGGTTTGCTGTTCCTGACCCTCCATCACTCCTTCATGCCCACGTCACCCTCCTTCCCCGTCTCCCTATCCCTCTCTCTTTCACACAGTGCTCTGTGCCTCGCTCTCTCTGGCTGGGCTGCTCCTCGGTGGCTGAGAGTTTGTGTGCACTCAGGTGCCTGCAGAGCATCCCCTCCACCCGGGCCCACAACCAGGTTCTGCCTCTATCCTCTTTTTTTTCTGCTGCCCTTTCCTTCTCCCCCTCTCCTGATCATTGCCCCACCCTTCACTCTGCCACTCTACCACTTGGCCATGCCACCCTGGCACAAACTTCATTGTCCAAACAAAAATTCTCAACCTTTTCTATCCTTTCTTCTAGCTTCTACTGGAATTCACATGCATTTGTTTTTTCCTTCTTATTTATGGCATATTTTGAATATTTTGAACTGTCTGAAACATTGTTTAAAATTTTTTTGGTGCATCAATGGAAAGGAAAGTCCTTGATAATGTCTGGAGGTGTTAGGGAGTAACTTGTGGCCACAAAGCTCGGAGATCATGTGCCAGACTGAATCCATGACATCTTTTCTCTCTCATCTCTGCTCTGCATGGCCATTAACATCAGCAACAGCATTTGTCTGTGTCCTGTTTACCCCTCCCAATTAACCCATGTTGTTGTAGGTATTGTTTTAATATCCCATTTTGTAAGTCTTTGAATAATTGACGTATTCCACAGCAAACTTGCGTTTTAATGGTAGTTTTTAATTTGTCAAATGAATCACATAATTTTTGTCTGTGAAGGGTTGAATACAAGTTTGTTGAACCATGTTGTGTCTTGCTCTTGAATTTATGTTGGCATCTACTATAGACTTAACCTGCTGTTTGTCATTAGAAGCTTTTCTTTTGTTGCAAGTCCCAGTTTTCACTGTCCACCTGTGTTTGTACATGTATGCCTCAGAAATAATGAGAAATGCTTTCTTTGGCTATGTTTTGGCACATTGGTGCTATGCAGCTCTGGCCGTTTCTGTGCCTACAATATAAGCCTATGACCTACATTCCTTAAGAAGATGCCTTGTCTTTGTTATTTCAGACGACATCAGGTATGGAGTCACAAAGTCTTGTGGATGATCTTTCGCCAAAGAAGACCACAGTACTCAAGGTAAGGGAATTTAATTGTAATCAAATTTGCTTGCATGAGCTTTTCCCCTTCCTCATGGTCTTGTCCATGTCCCCCAATCAGAGCAGAGCAGCCCCACACAGCCAGCAGATCAAGTGTCAATAAGTGTCTATTTGTTCTTTTTCTTGTTTATTTTTTATTTTTTTATACACTATATTGGAGGATTTCTGAAGTGACTTCTGCAGAACCACTTTATACCTGTTTCGTGGCACTGTGCTTCTCAAATCAAAAGTTCTTTTTTGCTAATGTTCTTTTAACATTTGGTAATGTTCTTTTAAAATTACTTTTAATTTTGTTGTATCTATGTCTTATGCACACTGGGGACCTTTGCAAATCTATGCAATGTGGTTTTACAGCAAATGGCAAATAAATGACTCTGAATCTCAGAGGAGTATCACAAGTCATTGGTCTATAGTTTAGCCAATAATCAATGTCCATAAATATTCATACATTGGTGGTATTTATATTTTCAAAATAAAATCACAATATTTCACCAATTAAAGTGAATTTGGATCCAATTACTAAAATTAATTGCTCATGTATTGTTGCATGCCAACAACAAGACTGGTACAAGTCATCTGCCACTGAGTAGCTGCAGTGTCCAGACCACTCACTACATTAGTGGGTACATTAGTCCTCAGACCAGGGCTTGTGTGAGAGGATGGAAATATCTCGATACAAACATCATACTCAATCAATCTGTATATTTTTTGCACAGGAGTACTAAAAGATGGGGAAGCTCTCAAGTCAACAAAGAATGCAGCAACGGTTGCATAGCCATCTGTTGTGTTAAACCATCATTGATCATTAAAGAGAAAGATGACAGGAATTTTCCTTTGCCCTGTTGTTACTGTGAAGGTCAGGTGACCTCAAAACAAATAATTAAGAGATTAAACATCTATCTGATGACAAGTTTGGCTGTAAATAAAGAGGTAAAAAAGATTCTTACTACAGGATTAGAAGGTCAAAATGACGCAGCAGCACCGTGACAGTACAGTTAAAAGTCCTTTAACTGGGAGCCAACACCGTTCACTAAGATGTTTTGTGTGAAACATAAGATCTCAGATGCCTCATCAGGCTGTGACTGTTGGTATGGCCCAGAAGTGACAAATTAATGGGCTAAACTCGATACAAATGTAAATCATTAATCAGTTTTAATGGTTAATGGCAAACTATGATTTCCTGTAATCGAGCCCTCGTGTATTCTCTTATGATTTTTCTGATTGACTCAAACACTGCTGCGTCTTATCCAATCAGTTAACGGAGTAACTCAATTGTACATGTGTGCATGGTTATCAAACAAACAAAAGGTCTGTATTTCTGCCAAAAAGTATGTTCTTTGTTTCCGGAGGTCACTGTGTAGGTTGACCTTTATGCAAATTGAAATGCTGACCTATGCTTGGGCTGGTCTTTTCTTTTCTTTTCTTTTTGGATACTGAGTGAGATGCTTAGAAAATAATATTATAAATAATTGTATGTATAACAGAAAATTGTTCTTGCTCCTTGCAGCTTAGTAACGGTCCTGTGGTGTCACGCAAACGTCCATCAGAGGGAAACTACGAAAAAGAGAAGGAACACTGCATTGCTCTTTTTGATCAGTGGTCAGAGGCTGACCAGGTGGAGTTTGTCGAGCGCCTGATCTCCCGAATGTGCCACTATCAGCATGGCCACATAAACTCCTACCTCAAACCCATGCTACAGAGGGACTTCATCACAGCGCTGCCAGGTAAGATTTAACTTTCGTAGTTTTGTCCGACCTGCCAATCCTTACTGTTATGTTGTGGCCCATTTCAGCTCAAGGTCTAGACCACATAGCGGAAAACATCCTGTCCTTCTTGGACGCACGCTCTCTGTGTTCGGCAGAGCTGGTGTGTAAGGAGTGGCAGAGGGTCATCTCTGAAGGAATGCTCTGGAAGAAACTCATTGAACGAATGGTTCGAACAGATCCCCTCTGGAAAGGCTTGTCTGAGAGACATCAGTGGTGAGAACTGCATTGATAGTAATAATAACGCAAGCCTGTTGAAGTCACTACTCATTGACGTCACACCCTGTGATACTCATTCACCCACACACCAGATTCATAATGCTGCATGGCTCCTGGTCAGGATCAAACCCACAACCTTCCTGAGGGATCTTCACACAGCTGCTACATTTAACCCATCGGTTTCATCAGAAATTCACTTAAATTCATTCTTGTATAGCCCTAAATCACAACAGTAGTTATCTCAGACGACTTGACAAAACTGTTAATCGCAAGCACAGAGCTGGAGGCAAGCCTAACCCTTATTCTTACCTTATTCAGCCTCAAACCTTACTCTTTATTTAGATATGTGCATTAGTGTGTGAGTCACTGATGTCACCAAAAAGTGATTATTTCCCTCTGGAGACCAAGATTCCAGTGAGACCCGGAACTTGCTATTATTTTGAGAATCCTGCATGCTTTGAGGCACTTGACAAAATGGTGCCTAAGATCTTAATTATATCTAGAATTAAACTATATTTATAATGACATGTACAGTGGTCCCTTGCTATAAGGCAGTTCACCTTTCGCTCACAGTTTCAGATTATTGCTGAATTTAGCAGGCTTTTTTACAGTTTGCTTCTCATGCACCGCATTTATAGAACATCTTATACCTGCTAGTATAACATGAGTTACTTATTTAGTTAAAGTCAGAAGAAACCTTTCCTGGTTTATTTGCACCCCGGTGATTAGTTCAGGGGACTACCCCATGCTTCCTGTAGCCCTCAGCACGATGACCTCTGCAGCTGTATTTTACAGTATGTACGGTGTTAGACAGCTGCAGAAATGTGCTGACCTACAACAAACAGGTTTGATAGATCCGCAATCGCACTTCAGCAGCCGTGAGTTCATGTGGTTAGAAAAGTGTATAAAGAGAGGAGTGTTGCAGCCTTAAAACATAACTGCCACTTTGCGGATTTCTCCTGTTGTGGGTTATTTTTGGAATGTCACCCCACGATAAACTAGGACCCACTGTGTTGCATGTAGATTAGACAAAGGCCGGTAGAAATACAAAATGGGTGTGGGTGGGGCTGGGCAATAAACAGAATTTAGGCTATTAATTGGCTTTTGAAAAAATCCAATTGTGAAAATCGTGAAATCGAATGAAGGATATTGTGAGAGTTCCTGCAGCACATGAATTATACTTGCAATATCAGCACAGTCTGTACATTACTTTTATAATACGTATTGGGGGAAACAAAATAAAAATGGTTGCACGGATTCACAGCATCATGATTTGTTGCAATTCATGATGCATCGACCTTCAGCCCTGACGTTAAATGTGCACCGACAAATGAGGCATTGGCTAAAGTAAGCTCAGTGTTGAAAAATATTGTGCACAAGATGGTTATTCACCCAATGCTCGGTGTAATCATGCGAACAAGAGTTTAATAATGCACTCTATGCTAGTACTGTGCAGCCCTTATATAATTTGTGGTCCCTGACATGCCCCGCTCTCTCCATTGTATTTAGTTAACATACAAATGGCAGGGAGCCAAATGTAACGCATATCTTTTCATTTCCAGGGAGAAATATTTGTTCAAGAACCGTACAGCAGAAGTTCCACCCAACTCTTACTATCATTCTCTTTACCCCAAGATCATCCAAGACATAGAGGTAACTATTAACACTTTGAGTGTTTACAGATCTGTCAATTTTTAATTACCTTTGTGTTCCTTGCTTTTTTTTTTTTTAGACTATTGAGGCTAACTGGAGATGTGGTAGACACAACCTGCAAAGGATTCAATGTCGTTCAGAAAATAGTAAAGGTGTTTATTGTCTTCAGTATGACGACGAAAAAATTATTAGTGGCCTTAGGGACAATTCCATTAAGGTATGTGTACACTACAAACATACGTTTTTGTTTTTGAATAAGTGTTACTAACTGCTAAATCCATAAATGGTTCACTTGATAGTACAAAAACATAGTAAAACACATTCTGCACATTGTTTTTCCCATGTACCATTTTTGAGAACAACGTAGTTTGTTATTCAAGATACACAAAGCTACATCATTCATAAAATGTATGAGACTTTTTTAGTATGTTGAAATTTTGTTATAGTAGTGATTTTTATTTTTTTTCCTCCTTCATGCTCTCTCAGATTTGGGATAAACAAACCCTGGAGTGTCTGAAGATCCTAACTGGTCACACAGGGTCTGTGTTATGTCTACAGTACGACGAAAGGGTCATTGTCACTGGCTCATCTGACTCCACTGTCAGGTACTTCCCCCTTCACATTTCTTTAATACTCAGTCTGGAAATATAATGATGTTAGAATGACCAAGTGGCTTCACTATAGCTTTATCAGAGGAAATTCTGTTCATTTTGTGAGCAAAAACACTGCCTGGATGAAACTGTTATCAAAATGCTCTCCCTCAGGCTATAACTAAAAAGTGATAAGAGACAAAGGCTTATTAATAATATTTTGCATATATATATATATATATATATATATATATATATATATATCATTTAGAGGTGAACGTAGCTCAGTTGGTCACTTTGAGCCTGAAGGTCGTGAGACCTTCTCCACCAACTCCCACTGATGACTGCTGTCGTTGTGTCCTTGGACAAGACACTTAACCCTGCTTTGCCTGAAGCCCCCGCTGACAGATCAAGTCTTAGCCATAGAGCGGCCATCCTCCTGTGGACTCACCACCTGCAGGAGGATCAGTAAGTGGCTGGTGCTATGTGTACTGGGTGGCAGAAATGTATTAAGGGGAAGAAAATGGATGGACGGATATATAAACACTTTAACATGTTAAATGTTCAGGCAAACAATGCAATTCAGCCCCTGCTGTGAGCAGTCTGCTCCAGATAAAGCACACGCCTGAGTGTCACCGCGACTCTCCCTGCTGCTGTCTCCCCTGCTCTCTCTGGTCTAACAAACACAAGACAAAGGCTTCTCCAACATGTTACTGCCTTACGGGGAGGCACCATTACCGGAGACTTTAGCAGAGGCTGGAGTAGTGGTGCGGCTTGTTCTCTGCAAATCTAACCTGTCTCCAAACCTCCTATTGACAGCACTGTTCCAACCTCTGACTCAAGTTTGTGTTTGGTGCGGTACAACGCTGCACTCGCGTCGCTATGATTTCCGCACCGATTCAACGCGGCCTTGCTTGAATATTTTGATGGGAGCATGATATTTTTTTGGCCCAGGGAGGTAGTCTGACATGTCTGCCAATTAGTGGCAGGGAGTTTGAATGAATGTTGACAATTAATGTGTCAAAATTGTGTCTTATGATAGCAGTGACATTTAGCCTGCTGTATTTCGTTCATTCGTCCCGCACCCCTCCTGCAATTGCTCTTTCCCACTTTGGGAACCACTGGGTTAACCTGGGACATTTCAGCTCTCATCGGCCACATCTCTTCGTTCAAACTCCCAGCAAAGGGACATTTGGCATTTTCTAACCCTAAACCCACAGCTGGCTGTCACAAAATGGAAACGGTTAAAACATTTTAATCCGGCAAGTACGTTTGTTTGTGTAGAAGTTCAAACGCTGACATTCTGGGTCAATATCAGACAGTAATTTCATGGCCTACTTCTGGCGGCATGGTGGCTGAGTGGATAGCACTCTCGCTTCTCAGCAAGAAGGTCCTGGGTTCGAATCCCGGTCGGACCAGGGCCTTTCTGAGGGGAGTTTGCATGTTCTCCCCGTGTCTGCGTAGGTTTCTTCCGGGTACTCTGGTTTCCCCTACCACTAAAACATGTACAATAGGTCTGGTATGCGCCTCCTGTACTGGCGACCCCGCTCCCATCTCTGTGTAGAGTGCCCAGAAAAATAACAAATTGTAAAACTCTTTGACTCTGGTTTGTGAAAGGCGGTATGTAAATAAAGATTACTTACTTAATCAAGTTATCAATTTATTGAAACCCAATCCCTATATTTTCCTATATGGGCACAGATGTCAGAAGCAGTATTGTATTGATGCATTCTTTACTCATACCACTGTAAGCAGCTGTATGCTAGATGTTGCATCAGCAAGTGTAGTTTTTTTTTTCAGGTGATTGTTTGCTCTTCTGCACACAGAAGCTCAATTAATTCTGATTACTTCACACTTTAGCCTTACTCTTGGGCAATGTCTAAGGAAAATGTGACTTCACCTCCATAGCAACAGTATGACATGCACTTTGTTTATTGGTTTGGTGTCAGCATTTCCAGTGTTCTGTACTTGATTTGGTGTACCCAACAGTGCAGCTCTAAACCCTGTCATGCCTTTTGCACTTGTGACTGTAACCTGATCAGTATCTAATGATCTCATCCTGTCTTTATATATATTTATTTAAACCCATGACCTAACCTTTCCATGGTTTTTACCCATATTTTCATGTAGCATGTTTCTTAATGGCCCGGTGTCTTTGTCTTTATCCGCAGGGTGTGGGAAGTCACTACAGGAGAAGTTCTTAATACCCTGATACACCACAATGAGGCAGTGCTCCACTTACGCTTCGCTAATGGCCTTATGGTCACTTGTTCAAAAGATCGATCCATTGCCGTGTGGGACATGGCATCTCCGACCGACATCAGCCTGCGGCGCGTTTTGGTCGGACACAGAGCAGCGGTCAATGTGGTCGACTTTGATGACAAGTACATTGTGTCCGCCTCAGGAGACCGTACCATCAAGGTAGGAAAGGAAGATAAATGCCCTCTGCCTTTTGAAAAAAAAAATTCTAACAAGTGTGTGTGCTCTAAAGGTGTGGAGCACGAGTACCTGTGAGTTTGTGCGCACGCTGAATGGCCATAAGCGAGGCATTGCATGTCTACAGTACAGAGATCGCCTCGTGGTCAGCGGCTCGTCAGACAACACAATCCGGTAAGAGAATGTACCTTTGAACAGAGAATGGAAATGTGGAATATCAAACATTTCAATAACATTTCAAAGGTTAAAATGTATTTAGTTTGAGTTTATCATAATTTTCAACTAACAAATAACAGGTTACGAAGAGTCTAATTTTCCTATTCGTATAGGTTATGGGATATCGAATGCGGGGCGTGTTTGCGAGTCTTGGAAGGTCATGAGGAGTTGGTGCGCTGTATTCGCTTCGACAACAAAAGGATCGTTAGTGGTGCATATGATGGGTGAGTGCTGTTTATGTACTTTCTATCTTCCACACTAATATATAAAAAGATAACTTTTGAATTGTCCCTTGTCTGGACTATATTCTCAATTGTCCCCTGGGTTAATCGGATTATTCAATCATCAAGACCCCTCAAGAAGGGTCATCTTAGTTCATACATTTTATCATGTGCAATTGGATAAAATTTTAGAATTTAAAATTAAAGCTTTTTCCGATGTAAGGTACAGTTGGTTCATGAATGTATTTTTAATTTGCAGTAAAATCAAAGTATGGGATCTACAAGCAGCACTTGACCCCAGAGCTCCTGCCAGCACATTATGTCTACGCACTCTAGTGGTTAGTATGACTCTGTTGGAACATCCCTCACATACAAACATCGGATTGTCTCCTTGTCACCTGGTGATAGTGCAGAGTCCCTTCTTTATCCTTAAATCCACTTTTCTGCTTGTTATATTGAAGTTCCCATTTTGTTTTTCACTGTTTTTTTATGAAGACTGCCTTTCAAGACACTCATTGCAAATGTGTGCCGTTAATGACATCGGTCATTGAAATCAATTATCTCTTCCAGGAGCATTCGGGTCGTGTGTTCCGGCTCCAGTTTGACGAGTTCCAAATTATCAGCAGTTCTCACGACGACACTATCTTAATTTGGGACTTCTTGAACGTCTCAACCAATGGGCAGTCAGAGGGTCGGTCTCCCTCACGCACCTACACCTACATTTCAAGATAGCAGGTAAAATGGAATATTCTCTACTCTACCTGGAACTGGAACATTGCAACTTCAGTCACTATTATGTTTTGTTCACTTTAGGTGGGGTAACTTCACCTTTTCTTGGAGGAGCCCAGATGGGTGAAACCTTTTTGTGGAAAGGAGTCCTTCTTTCTCCGAGTCATCTCTCTGTCCATCTCCACCTGCTCCGAGACCTTTGACTGTTAAGCTTGTGTCCATTGCCCGCTAGTACCGTGACATGCACATACAAAGAGCAAAACTGATTTTAAGATGACCTACTACACAATCAATGCAAATGTCCCGAGAGATTTATCGATTACTAATTTATGTTTGTAAAGTACAGTGTAATGTCAGTATTAACATTGACCTTCGAAAAGCCACACTTTTCCCATAGACCTTCTTTATAACAGCAGCAGCTTCGGCTCTTCTTTCTCAGTCCCACCAAAAGTGGAATTGCTAATAGATTATATTTATATAGTATACCAATGTACACAATGGCACAGTTGGACAGAGGATGACTGGAGCTATACTGTGGGAGACAGAGACTCTTTACATGGCTCTAGTAAACGGGGAAAGGCCCCTCTCTACTCGCCCCCTGCCCTCCTCCAGCCCCCACAGAGGCACATGCGCTTGGAACTGGGGAAGCACACAGTTTGTGTGTATGTGTATGTGGACTTGAAGCGGCAGAACCGACATGCATGTGTGAGGTGCTCATGGAAACGGAATCCTTTTGCACCTCTGCTTTTGTTTCTCTTAATTCTGTCTTTCTTACTGTTTTTTTATTACTGTTTTCTAATTTTATTTGAGTTCTTACGTACAGAATCATTGAGCGGTCCCTATCGTCGTTTTCCTGTCTTTTTCTCATTCTAACTTTCTTGTTCATATGTCACTCACTCCTCCTTTTCCATCTACTTTGTGCTTGCTTTGGTTATGAGAGAAGCTGGAACTCAAGAGCTCAAAATTAGCTGTAACAGAGTTGTCTTGTCAAAATTGTGTTGTATATTAAAAATGATTTTTTAAAGAAGAGAAATTACCTTATTGTGAATAAAGTACTTGACATTGGAGTGTTGCGCCAACTGAAACAAGAGTGTCTATTCTCGTATGTGGCTATACTGTCATGATGGCGGGGATGATGACATGGTATTTAAGTTGAAATGTGAAGGGGATATCCTTATTTCAGAAGCAGAATAATTTTTATTGCCATGTAAGTAACAGGAAGTCAGACTCAGGAAATTGCTTTGGCTCTTGGTGCAAACAAGTCAACATTAGAGAAGGAATAAGGCATAATAAAATTTGTGAGCAAAACGCACAAATATGATGAGCATCGATACAAGTTGAACTTGGCACAGATGTCAGAAGCATATTCACATACTGAATCCAATCCCTGTTCGGGCTCGATCAGTCTTCCAGTCTGTTGGAACTTGCAAATAAGATTTTGACACTCTAAGCTCAGGGGCCACTTCAGTCTAAGTTTTTACTCTTGACAGGGGTGGGCTGCTAATGGTTCATTATTTGGTTTTGTTTTGGTCTCGTGTTCACAGTATGACAAGGGTCGTTTAAAGACCAATTCTATTTGAACCAGGACATATATTGCCAAATCATGGATCTACATTGGTATTTTGTCATTCGCTAATTGTAGAAGTACAAAGAACATTATTTTGAACACATGAGACATATATTGATTATGTAGACTCATTACTGGAATTCCTTTGGAATTGGAATTTAAAGTGGAATTGCTTTACTTATACTTATAAATGCCTTTAATTTAATTGCTGTTTTACTTGAGATCAGATAAAGGGCATTATACTTTTGATAAAGTTTTCCACCATAAAGGGCTATTCTATTTATGTACAAACTACAAGTCATACACATTGTAATTTGTGAATTTTGTTAATGCTTTTGTAAACGGGAACTCCTACGAAGCTGCATTAGCCCCAAAAACAATACATGTGAATAAAAGTCGTCTCAAAAGTCATTCCCAAAACAATTTCTAAACATTTATCCCTTCACAAATCCTTACACTTTCAGTCTCTGAAGTTCATATTCGTTTGTCTTACACATAGTAATGTAACATTCATGTACAGTAAACCACAGTAATACATTTCAGATTGCTTGACTGTTTTCAATGTTGTCGATGCTTTTAGTGTGTACTTGAGGTGTCCAGTTCATTCCAGATGTTTGGACCTTTACATGTGATCCTTAAACTGGTGCATTTGAGTTTGCGGCGCTTGCCCTTCAGCCAGTGTTTTCTTCTAGTATTACAGTATGTGTGTGTAGAAGAGGTGATAGGAATGAGCTGACTGTGCCGATCATTCAGTTCATACATGCATTATGCAATATGTTACTCTCAGTGACTTTCAGAAGCTTCATCTTATAAAAGAGGGGATTTGAGGGAGCATTACTTTCTTTTGAAGTATTTGTAACTTTCCTAAGTAATTTGTATACGTGTTACTCCATATAATATAACAATAATTTAGATCAAAGCCTCGAGAAAGTGACTTTACAGCCAACATATTTTGATAATTTCAAAGTCAGTTCATCCATGTGTTTTTTGGAATTTAAGAATGCATCAATATATAAAAGTGTTTTATTGTTCTAACAACATAACATTTCTGCTCGAATACTAATGAAATAGGATTATTGTTTCAGAGATGTAATTGGCTAATAGAAACTCAAAGTTGTGTGATTACCTTTTAGAGCACACAGTATTTAAATTATATAATTATATACTTTTAAAAAGTATTAATATCCATATAACTAACTCCTATCAATGATATCATTGGGTAACATTAGACTGACATTATTGTCTTACATTTAGTAGGGGAGTTTGCTTTTCAATAAAAGTTTATATGCGCCAGAGTGAGTTGATACAAAACTTTGCCCATGAGCACCTCTCTATTGGGCACATGGTGCTTGTGGCTAAGCATTGTTCATGTGCAAAAAAGATCAACTTTATTGATCTCACAATGGAGAAATTTACAGTATGTTCAGAGCATTTGATAACTTGAAATTAATGTAAACTTCAAAACACTTCTCCATAGACATGAGCATAGGCCTGAGCATCATGTCCTTTGACTTTTTCCAAAGGGCGCCCACAAGTGTGTTGGGGTAACTCGGTCGGACAGCTCCATGCCACGTGGGTCTACAAGCGTGTGAAAGACAAGACTCCAACGACCAAATGCTCACCTGGACAATCTGAACATAATGTATCATTCTAGTGACGGAGAAGCCACCCTTCAGCCAGGTAACTGTAAGAACAAATGATGGCTTTTAAAACTGTACATCTTTAAAACTACAAAAGATGCCAGTAGAGCCATACTTTAAGTGCAACTTCAGTAGCATGGAAGCCTGGAACTTGGAAGTATTTTATTTATTGATTTCATACAGGGATAGTGCATTGAACACAGTTACAATAGTCCATGCTAGATTTTTGCCTGGCCTGCCAGACACTCCTCCTTTCTGTTCAAAAGAAGAAGAAAAAGCATATCGTTTGGCAGGCCAGGCAAGCTAGATTTAGCCAAAAGTCTACTCTTCAGCTGCTATCCTTGAACAGGCAACAGGTTATCAAAATAATTATAGTGTTTACTAAACTAAGACGAGAGTCCAAAGTTCTTAATAACCCGAGGGCATGCTCTCTTTACTATTTCCATTCCCTACCATCTCCTAAAGCACCATAAAAGGACAAGGAAGGAGGTATTTATGTGAGCAATTATCGGGATTGTTGCCTTCCACACACAATCGCAGCAGACGTCAGATGACGCCGTACATAACGAACAAAAGGCCAGCAGGGGGCAGAGAGAGCAGGATCGTCATGTGGTCTGTAGTACTGATTTATCAATGATTGCTGTCAAGTATGGACTTCAGATGACCAATCCCCTTTGCGGACATGGTTGAGCCATGTGTGAATACATGACAGATCTATACAGGGAGATGCTCTGGGCAGAGGGGAGGAGGGATATAGGTTCGATGATTTCTGTTTTGTTGCTGTTAAGTTTGAGGAAATTGTAATCCATTCATGTTTTAATGTCAAAAAGGCAGTATGTGATGGTGGAGACTGAGAGGATGACTGGGGTGATGTTTTGGTGGAGATGTGTGAAGGATGTAAATGATGAAGAGTAGGGGGCCGATTAATGAACCTTGAGGAACACCAGTGGGGAGGTATTGGACTTGACATTTATTTATTTATTGAGACGTAGCGGTAGCAGTCGATGAGGTAGGAGGAGAACCAGGACAGTGCTTTACCGGAGATTGCATGTTTGTTGGCAGATGACTTAAGAAAGAGGAGAGAAGAGACCTCACCTGATGGAGACAGGATTGTTATCTCACTGGTGAGTGAACGTTTAGTCTTGCCTTGCAACCAACGGTAAAGCAAATTTCAGGGTCTTGCTTTGAAAGAGTGGGATCAACAGCCACCTACCCCCACAACCTTTTCTGGCCTTGTTCCAACTCACCTGTTGTGCTGGTGGTCTTCTGTCAAGCACGCACCGTTAGTATCAAATTGTGCTGTGAGAAAACATGGCGCTAACCTCTATGACAGACCTGGAATCACACCATATATCAAACATAATAATAATAATAATAATAATCCAATCATTAATAATATATAGTGTATTTTTTTCGGGAATAATTAATGCACGTCTATCAACATTTATTGACAGTATATTCTGGTTCAAGGTGCTATGTACATCATTATCTCAAACAAAAGCACAAAAATCATCATTTGAATGTGACAGTTGCTGACCAAATCCATGAATTATGATATAGTCATCATCAATAATCTGTGTCGTCTTCTGAGTTTCATGTTTCAGTATAGGATCATATTTCCCAAGTTCCCCAGTGCTTATGTGAGGCCGAGCTCAATCTTTTTACATCAAGATAATGTTGTTTTCCTTTTTTTAGTTGCTATCCTATAATCACTGATTCTCAACATAAGTGCAGACCCTAAACACATAATAACCCTTTTTTCGTTTAGTTTATTTGTGTTAACAACACGCCCTGGACGTCTATTGTCCTATAAAACTTCATGATGTAATGTGAAACCCATTAAAAACCTGCCTGTTAGGTGTTAGTTTGTCTGAAGCTGGCTATGCTATTTTAGGTATGTTTAAGTATCAGGAAAAGGTAAAAGGACAAAGATTTGAAGTATTTCGCAGAATGCACGATACATTTATACTATGACTTTCTCAAGATTGTAATTTAAAAAAATATATTTTCTCGTAAAAGAAAATGTACATTCAGTTTGTGGTTTACTCATAACGGCCACAAGGTGGAGCAATGGACTCATCTATAACTCACTGTTTACTGGCAGATTCTGGATATGCATTTGGTTGTGAATTACAATCAAGTCTCAACAACCTGTCACATTAATTGAACTGATATTTTATTGTCTGCATGAAACAAATGAAAAAGGCCTTCCATCCCATCAACACCATAATAAGTGTTCCTGGAAATTGTACTTTCTTTTTAGGAGGTTCTGTCCGCTGAGAAGATTGTTTACTAACTGTTGGATTTAGTTTGTTTGGAGAAGAATATTTCAAATAGTGAGAATAAGTTCTGTGGGTTTGATCTGTGCGTAGTGGAGCACCATTAGTACATGTGATGTGTGTATGCGGGATATGGGTGTGTGTTCTTCCTTTGGGTCTGTGGGATTTTGGCCCATAATTCCTGCAGCTCTCTCAGGTCACAACTCCGTTCTCACGCACATATTTGGCATTCCTTCCCCGACATGATTACCATACACCTTCCACTCTTGGGTTTGGCTACGCAGAATATTTCCATCATTTCGGAGTGGAACTGCACGGCTCACCCTGGCATCCCCCTGACTGTCTTCAGTAGTGCACACGCCCTGCTCCCCCTGACCCCTCCGTCTCCTTACACCCCCCTCCGGTTTGGACTGTTGCTGCCGTGGAACAGGAATCCTCCGCTCCAGCCTTTTTTCCTCCTGAGTCAGCTGTTTGTGTCGGCCTGTGTGATTGGGTCATTTGGCAGCGACATCTCTTTAGTGACCTCCTGCTAGGCATGGGAAGGAAGAGAAGAACCAAGGGCTAAAATAAATGGTACTTCAGCAAACCGGTATTCGTAATACTTAAGTTTTCATTTGTGTCTGTTTTGGCCTGATCTTCAATATACAAAGTTGTAATGTCAGTTCACTTAACGTAAACACATTTTACACCAGAGCTCATAATATATTATATAATATATGAAAATGAAAGAATGCGTCATTAACGCCCAATGACATAAAACAGACACATGGATGTGGCCAATTTATCAATCTTCTTTGCAATTAATATAATAAAATGAGCTGATTCTTAATTTTGCAAAGGCACTGCTAAAATTGTAATTTTTTTTCCTTGCTTGAACTGTGATCAGACAGATCTTGCTTGTTTAAAAAAAGGGAGGTTACATATAGTGTGAAAAAACACGGGCTGAAATTAAACTTCTACCTTTGATGAAAATAATATAAATAATGAATAATTACCTTTCAATATTGAGATAGACATAATGTTGGTTTAAATAATTGGCCTAAAACATCTTTTAAACACATGTAAGCATCCGCAATTCTACTGCTTATCTAGTCATTAACAAATAAAAGTTACAAAAAACACAATTTTAATGTTTCTGTAATGTTTACTGAGTCGAGTTGACTGTTGCACACAGAGCTGAAATAAATAAATGAAATAATTTTATCGTAATAATTACAGTAACCACTGTGGTTAGTTTGCTTAATTAGGGTTCCTGTCTTTCATATATATATATAAATTTATAATATATATATATTTTATAAATTGTTCCCTTAAGTTGTCATTGTCCTGTGTGTATACATGACGCTTTGGTTTGTTCCGCTGAATGTCTTGGTAGCAGCACTCGGTATCCATAGTTCCGTATGGGAGCATCATCCCTTGAGTCATTTCTATAGTGATGCTCATAGAGAAGGCACTCTCCTCACGTCGTAATGTCCTCAGGGCTCACCTCTTTGGTTTCTAGACTTGTTTGGTTTGGGTGGCATTTGGTTTGATATATTCCAGTTCTTTAAGCTGTAGTCCTTGCAGTGTCTGTATTTGGTCCCTTTCCCAAACTCCCTTTTCTTCCAGCTTACCTTGTAGCTCCTGGTGCTCATACCATGTATGAACATTTAATTAGAAACAAAGTCATTATATCCTCATTCATCAATATATCATTCTCGCAGCAACCTCACTGACTAAGCAATAAGTGCGTCACATGTCAATAGTCAATTATAAGGATCATGACACATCCTTCTGGCCCTTTTTTGCATTTTTAGACTTAACACCCTATAGTCAGTCATGATTCATTTAGAGTCGCTCTTCTATCAGTTCAGAATATGAGACCACAGGCCTGGGTTACGCAGCTTTTCTGTTTGTGTCTTTAGAAAGGTCCTTGTCAGCATGTTGTAAAACTGAAAGTCATTACTTTTACATTCAGGGATTGTAGTGGCAAATGAACAGATGTAAAGCTTTATCCCATGTATTATGCAACTTGTTCATAGTCAGTGTGTTGCAACAAAAGGAGGCCTGGAGTAATATTCTTCAGAGGAGATGAGTAGATCTTTAGGATGTTGTGTCTTGCTGCTAGCGAGGCCCTGTTGCTCGGACTCGCTTACTTCGTTTGCTTATGGTGGTGAAGCGGAACGGGGTGGTCAGGTCAGGCTGCTCCCCTGGGGGAAATCGCTTCATGAAGTGCACCTCCTGCTGGTTGGGGAGTGTGAGATTTCCACGGCGAGGACGTCCTCGTTTAGTGAAGCCTACATACCAACCAGTGTACCGTGCTGACATCAGAGCAGTGTAGTGGTTCTCCAACACCTTTTCCACAAAGACGCAGTCAGCACTGCGATTGCTGGCCTTCTGAAAGGGTCACAAAGAAAGAGAGATGTTTGTGGGTTTATTTGTTGAAAGTAACATTTTTATACACATCTATATTCAGGCTCACCTTTCCCACCAATTTCCCTCGTCGGTTCATACAAAGGTAATAATTTGTTTCTTTGCCTCGGATTCTCACCTGGCTACCAAAGGTGTCAGCCTCCACTACAAGCTGGGCTTGTGAAGGGACATACAGAGGAGAAGTAAAACATTAGAGCCATACACTGCAACAAAGACGCAGTTATTTATGCATGCTGTTCCTATTCTATTTGTACTTTTAATTAAAATGAGTCACTCAAAGTCACAGAACTTAATGCTAATTCAGCTTACTCACTGCAGGTATCATGTATTATGAAGTTTCTGTAAATGACATATGGTTGTTGGATATGCAATGTCACACATGAGGTAAACCATGCATCTGCATAGGGCGGTGCATTATCTGTTTAAAAATAACTCCTGATAATGACTCCATGACCTTTTTCACAAAAGGCTAAAAATCAATACTGCTCGTTTGTCTTCTTCCCTGACTCCTCAGATCTGCCTAATCACTTTTTCTACTGACTGGCTATGCACGGCTGGTTCTAACCAGGCGCATTATAACGGCTCAGTTAGATGCATGTATGCCTAGTTGGCCAACGACATGTTACATGCCTCCAAAGTGTGTAGTAGTAATCTTTATTTATATACCGCCTTTTCACTGCAGATCTGAGTCTCAAAGCGGTTTACAATTGTTAATTTTTGGGCATTTGTCTCTCACTCCACACAGAGATGGGAGCAGAGTCGCCAGTACAGGAGGCGCATGCCAGAACTATTTGACATATTTTTAGTGGTAGGGGAAACCGGAGTACCCGGAGGAAACCTACGCAGACACGGGGAGAACATGCAAACTCCACTCAGAAAGGCCCTGGTTCGACCGGGATTCGAACCCAGGACCTTTTTGCTGAGAGGCGAGAGTGCTATCCACTCAGCCACCGTGCCGCCCACCGTGCCGTGTGTGTGTCGTAAGGCTGGGTTGAAGGCTCTCTGGCCGTTGCAGTGGGGGATGGACAGAGCAGTGAGGTGATGCAAGGAGGGAGGAAGCTGGCTGTTTTAAACCCACATGAGACAACAGGATAAGTAATCAATGCTGGGATCAATGATGGAGATGAGTTTGTACCACTCTGCCTGCCACAGCCTTCTCCCTTGAACTCACATTTTCTCGACCCTTTCTCTTTTCCTGCTCTATTCTCTGCCTTCTCCTTCAGATCTCCTCTGAATCATTGAGTCAGCGGCTTGTCGATGAGGTCTTTGTACTCTGAAGACAAGCTCCACTGCCCCTTTCTCAAAGCCTGCGAGGCCAGACTATGTGGGCCTTTGTCTATGTTCCTGCACAGTTGCATTCTGTATCCATTCATGCATGCTCTTGTTCACCCCTCAAGTCTTTGTACGCTCTACCATGAGACAGTGGCTTCAAATGACTTAGTGGATTTTTTTTCAGGTATTTTCCCTTCTGGTTCAGATTATTTTGTGTTTGTGTCTTACCATATTTGTCCCCATCATCTCCTCGGGCGCTGATTCTTCGACCAATAACTTGCACATGTTTGCCACTTGTGCGGCTGTAAAGCTGGTAGACTCTGTGGTGTTTGCGACTCATGGTGTCTCGCACCTGTGTCTGGTTCTCTACATGCACGCTGAAGTTTACTCCATCCACACCAAGAACCTGCTACAAACAGATTAGAGAAGAATGCATGAAAAACGTCACACTGGAGCATCCGTAAACAAAAATCAAGCCGTAATTTACCATATTGTATCAACTATATCAAGCACTAAAATTTCTTTTTTTGCCGTGTACATGTTATGCTAAAAATGGAAAGAGATTACAGATAACTGTCTGCACTTTTTACTTTGAATTGTTGGCTGTTCTCTTTCCTTGAACATTTTTGTTTTTTTATTCCCAAAACAAAAGAACAATGAACAGAATGACACTTGCCAGAATGCATAAGAAAACTTACTCAAAAAACTTGTCAGACTAATGTAGAACTGTATGATCTTACTCTCACCTGTAAAGGATTGCACATCACCAGTAACATCTGGATACATCTGGAAAAAGTAAAAACATATGGCTTCATAAATATGTAAGCAAAATTGGATGTTGGAAAAGTCATTTGTTATATAGTCATGTCCAAGTCTTTCTTCTCAGATATTCTTTCAGTTCAACATCCCTTTGCTTATTAGTCACCGCTGGGTGTGCAGCTGGCACAGCACCTCCACATCTATGGAGCCAGCAGACAGACAACACCCAGTGCGCTGTTTAGATTAACGCTACCATTCTTCTCACATTCTGCTCAGGCCTATTTTGACCCATCTGTGACTTTCACTAAAATCTGGCCTCAAACTGACCTTGCTCGGACGATGCTATACGGCCAAACATACCAGGACAACTAGAACATGTTTTGGTTTGGAGATCTGAGAAGTCTGTTTGGCTCCACTCTGCCACAGGTGCACATTGCACTGTGTGATGTGGCTTTGGGAGCAGTGCACTGTGGTCACATGTGGACATGGCATGGATAAAAAAACAGTCACCAAATATGTGGAAAAATCATTTCTGGTCAATTGACTAATAATAAAGGTGTTTAGCTGGTCATGAATCCAGGTTCTTATTGAAGATATGAAAATGGTTTGTATGGCCTTAAGTGACCTTTTAGGTTGAATGTGTACAGTGTCATTTGTATTAGAGGGGCAGTATAGATTTACAGAGGAATTCAAGAATTTGTTCTTGTTGCATCAGTTTTGTTTTTAATCATCAAAATTTAGAACATTTATTTTAATTTAAAAAAATATATATTGTGAAAAAAAAAATCCCTATTATCTTATTAAAATGTAGACCTTGACCTTGCAGGTATCCCAGTATTTACAGCTCAAGCAAGGGAGTAATATCTGTTGAGCAAAATCAACTTTGGCAGTCCTTGAACTGCTATGAATTAGTGGCTAAACATTTAATCAAGTTCAGGACAAAGTGTGTGGGCTGTAAAGTATTTCTCCAAAACTGTCTTTCCCCACCTCATCTGGCTATCACTCTACATGCCTCTTATACTCTTCCTCCGACATGTTGTCCTCTCTAGCTTATCTCTTCTTCTCAGTCTGCTCTTTTCTCCCCTCGCTCCAATCTCTCCGGGCGTTTGGAGTTAGTGGGGTGACTCCTCCGCACTGTCATGGGCATGCACACAGATGTGCAGATGTGTGCGTACAGGAGCAGGCAGCTGACAGCTGGCCTAAAGCTAAGGCATATGCGCTGCTGAGAGAGAGATAGGGAGGACAGCAAGATGCCGAGCATGAGGTACACAAAGGGAGAGGCTGAAGACAGGACGGAGCAAGGTGGTGTAAACACTGCAGAGAGGAGAGACTGAAACCAGAGCAGGCACTGGCAAGGAAAGGTCAAAAGCAAACAGGCCTTCATCCCAGAAAGGAGAAATAAAGTGGCTAAATGAGAGACAGTAGTGTAACCACAGAGTGTGGTCTGGCTTGAGAAGTAGACAAAAAGATAAATATTGGTATGAAATAGGAAAGGGTTCAACACACACCGAAAGACGAACTGCTCCAACCTAACACAGAGACTTCGTTTTTCAAGCGTCCTTTCTGCTAAATGTTTTGGTTCCCATAGCTCTAATACATGCAAGGCATCGCTAGTGTGCTGGTGCTCAATTTTGTCTGCACAGCCCAAAAAATCGGACCGCCTAGCATTATGAGAACTCTCAGCTGTTCAAACACCAAGACTGTACTAACGCCGAGGACACTGCAGGAAAAGTGCCTCTGCATTGGATTCCCTGTTCCCACAAAAACCACAGACACTCCATATTATGCCAGTCAGAGTAGAGAGGGAAAGGGGAGACAGAGACAGGTCTGGGCCTGGAGGGGGAGGATGAGAAAGGGGCAAAGTAAGAGTATAGGCAGAAGAAACTATGGAAGGAAACCTGGTGCACTTTGGATGTTTGCCAAAACAAGCACAAGTCTGACATCATAAACCTGCATCCCAGCAGATCCAGCTCGAGGCTGTGGTTAAACTGCAGGCCTTTAGAGCTGAACATTGGGCTCAAGCCAGGGGCTGGCTGTGTTTGGGTTGTGTGTAGTGGCGGTTAGCGTGGTACACCGACAGAACAGCAGTGGGCTTGTGCACTGAGACACATGTTGAGAAGCAGTGGTTAGGGCAGTGGGCGTGAGACTGGGATCATGTGGGCCTTTGGTTTAGCCGCGGTGAGCCTCGACAAGGAGCTGTGGCTTCACAACAACACCAAGAACAGGTTGTGACACCTTGTCCGGCTGTAAAGACTGTGTCAATTAACGTAGATCAAACAAAGTTTGTTCATGACCGTGTTGGTTACAGCCAGAGTCAGGGGCACCATCATTCATCAGTTATTAATTCATACTCTTTATCTTCATGGAAAAAATGAGGAATAGGCAAGACAGGAAGACAGATGCAGGCAGTTAGGAGGGTAAGTGGAGAGAAAGTGAGACAGACACGAGCAGCAACAGCGGCAGCACACACCCTGTCCAGATTGTGTTAGGAATGAGAACTATCTAGAGATGACTGCCATCTGGGAGAAGTACAGCCGAGACAAAGAAAGAAAAATAAATCTCTTGGCTTTTAACAACACCTCAGATGGGTAAAGGCCTCCTTGAACTGGAAACTCTCCCCCATTGCACTTCGAACTTTATTATTTTCACATCCCATTTTAAACTTGCTGCTATACTAACATAGTCTCTTGTGGAAAGAAGTATTTTGGCAGATTCTCCATAAGCATTGTCTCAGAGGATAGTGATTGAGATGTTTATAGCAGATTTTTGACTTACAGCCCCAACTCTGACCTACTGACCCTGAACTGTGAGCCAATCAAGAAAGGCCTTCCATTGCATGTTTTCTATGGGACTGTGGAGCATTGATGTAATATTTGGATGATGCAGCTTTGGCCTTCATCATCAATATAATCCATGCTTTGAACCCAAATATTTTTTTCTGCAAATTTTAAATAGTAACTTACAAGACGGTCAGCATGGAAAGAAGGGGCCACATTGCTTCCCCACTCCACTATGGACTTTGGCCCACAGAGAGTCTCCTCGCTCGGCTTGAGCCAGTCCGACGGTCTGGAATCCGCAAAGTCAAAGAGTCACTGAGCATCGGCGACAACGTGACCCGGTTCAACCGGCGTGATGCTCAGACGTGATCCTGTTTAGGGCTGACTGGGGTGAGCGCGTGCCACCCTGACCGACCGGCAACCTCTAACAGCTGTCCAGGGCAGAGCAGGGGAGACGGGTGGGAGGGGGAGCAAAGGGGGAAGGTTATGGCTTTTAAACACTGCGCGTTCCCGAGCTGTTGAGGAACAGGTGAAAGCGCGCTCACGTCTTACATGAAACCAGCTCAATCTGATTTCTCAAACAGGTACAGTCCGTGCGTAAACTTGTGCGTAATCCAATGTTCCGATGTTAGAGACTGCAAATGAATTCCCAAAATAAGAAAAAAGTTTAGTCCACGTATAACTCTGTTGATGTTAGATGAGACATCAAAGCTGACTGTTGAGCGATCCGGTGAGCGCAAGACGGGGGCTCTGAAGGCGCGGGGTCCCCGGTCATGACTGCGTCTCCACGCTGACTCTATGGTTCTGTTCAGGTGACACCTTGAGTGTGGCAAAGAAGACTTTGTGGTCCCGCAGCGGTCCAGCTCCAGCGTTCTCAAAAAGAATGGGAGGGAGAATAAAGGGCAGAGAGAGCCCAGAATTCAAGGGAGGGGTGGTTGAAGAGGATGGGAACAGCTGTGACTGGGTGGCGGACTCAGCCACCCGCGACACAGCGAGGAAATGACAGCCGCACTTTGCACCTGATTTTCCGGACTTCCCCCACTCGCTTCAGCCGATGGTTTGTGCCCGGTTGCGGCGTCCCTTCTCGCACCCTCTCGACTCAAAAACAGGCAAAAAACAGCACGATGACATCACCTCCAAGATGTTTGAAAGGGGGAAATGGCACTCGATTCTTACTTGTATGGTGCTTCAATTGAGAGTTGCCCCCTTTTAAGTTTGTAGTGTACCAGTAAAAAATACAAAAATAAGTAAAAATTTAGTTTGAAAAATGTTTAAGTTGTGCACTCTATTGACTGTTAACTTGAAAGCGCTTACACGACGCTCCGTGGTATAAAGCTTCATAGGAATTAATTTCAACCGCCGAAAAATAAATCCGCACTGGGAGCTGGGGTGCACCTTTTCTCACGGTAACTCGTTATTGTCCAGAATGGTCCTCTTTTCCAACTATTCCACATGTATAGCTTTTCTTGAGGGGGGTTGCACAGAAGAGGTGCGTCGGCAGGCAAAGACCTCACTCCAAGAAAAAACAGAACAAGATTTTAACAGACGCGGATCAATCCTCCCTCCCTCCGTTCCTTCGCGCCCCCTCCCACTACTCGCTCTCCTCGCTCTGCCTTGACACGCACGCACGCGCACACTTATTGGATCAAAAGGGATTAGCCAGTCACTTTTTTACCAATTATTATGCGTTTTTCCCCCGTTTTATAATCATTAGTAAAATTATTGTTATTATAGTACATAAAAAGTAACAGGCCTTGATTTGTTTCAAAGATACACCTGTGGGCACGTGCGTGTGTGTCGTAACTCAAATATTACTCAAATGTTGAGTTAATGTCGTTTACTGTTCTGTTCCAGTGAATGATGGTATTTTCTTGCATTATGAATGTGTGTGGTGGACAGCTCCAAGTCAATGTCAATAAAAGCCATGAGCATTGCCAGTAAAACAGTGAATGAGGGGGATTCCTTCGGGTAGCGACTTATTTAGTAACGGCCAGGCCAGCCATGAGAACCTTTTCTTCTTCTCTTTTACCTTTATGTCAGGGATCCTCATTGCAAGGCTAGCATGTGCAAAAAACAGACTTGTGCTGAAAAGGCGCATATGCTGTCCCTGAATCGTCCTCACTTCTGCATCCTTTTGTTAGTCACTATAAAGTTCAACATTCAATGAAAATCAAGAGCAAACAAAATGTGGTAAAAGAAAATACAGATGATGCTTTGAGGCTTGACTAAACTCTTTGATTTTCCAATGCAGCTCTCTGAGAATATTATGGTCATAGATAAAGTCATCGAGGAGTAGCAACAGAGGAGAACAGACAAAATACTTCACAAACCATTGGCTATCATCTCCCAAAAGTGTAAACTCCTGCATAAGGCTGAAATGTTTAATCACATCGATGCCACTAGAAAACTCTTGTTAATACAGAGAATATGTAAAACTGCTGCACAGTGCAAATAACTAACTCCTGTCTGGTGCCAACACAATAATAATATTTCAGGATTGTTTATTAACTTCCAAACGTAAATGCAATGAGTTTGCAATTTTTTTCAGGGACAAGGTTCAAGGCATCAAAAACGCCATTGTCTCCAATCCACAGATAACAATCCAACAGCCAGAAAGGCTCTCCGAGCTAACTCACTTTGCACCTGTAGATGATAAAACTGTCCAAGAGATAATCTCCAGTCTGAGCTCCTCCACTTGCAGCCTGGATGTACTACCCATTCTGAGCAGTCTGTTACCTTCACTCACACAGATAGTAAACATGTCCCTTCATTCTGGAATATTCCCAAAGGCCCTGAAAACTGCAGTCATCAGGCCCCTGCTAAAAAAGAGCAGCCTGGATGCTACGGTACTTAACAACTATCGTCCCATCTCAAATCTGCCATTTATGGGGAAAGTCCTTGAGAAAGTTGTCTACCTACAGCTTACTAGATTTCTTATAATCAACAACTCATTTGATATGTTTCAGTCCGGCTTTAGACCCCACCACAGCACTGAGACTGCTCTCGTTAAGGTTACAAACGATATCCGGCTGAACACTGACGCAGGCAAAGTCTCAATCTTAATCTTGTTAGATCTACAGTAAGTGCTGCCTTTGACACCGTTGACCACGAAATCCTCTTACAGAGACTAGAGGACTGGGTTGGCGTCGCTGGCACCGCCCTAAGTTGGTTTAGGTCTTACCTTGAGGACAGGAAGTACTTTGCGGAGATTGGAAACTGTGTCTCAGATCAAATGGCCCTGACCTGTGGAGTACCACAGGGGTCGATTCTGGGACCTCTTCTGTTCAATCTCTACATGCTGCCGTTAGGTCAGTTAATACGCAGAAACAAAGTGTCCTATCATAACTATGCAGACGACACTCAGATCTATGTCTCACTGACTGCAGGAGAACATGGACCAGTGGACTCACTCCTTCACTGTATCCAACAGATCAGTGAGTGGATGCAAAACAACTTCCTTCAGCTAAACGCAGACAAAACTGAAATTATTGTCTTTGGTCCCCAGAAACAAAGAGAGAGCGTCATCTGTCACCTACAGTCTCTCTCCCTAAAACCTTCAAACCAGGTCAGAAATCTAGGGGTAATACTGGACTCAGACTTAAATTTTAATAGCCACATCAAATCAGAAACATCAGCAGCTTTTTACCATCTAAAAAACATTGCCAGGATCAAAAACATAGTGTCTAAAGCAGACCTGGAGATTCTTATCCATGCATTTGTCTCCAGTAGGTTAGACTACTGCAATGGCCTGCTCACAGGTCTCTCCAAACAGGCTGTAAAACAGCTGCAGTACATTCAAAATGCAGCAGCTCGAGTCCTGACTAGAACCAGGAAGTACGACCACATTAGTCCAGTCCTCAGGTCTCTGCACTGGCTTCCTGTGGCTCAGAGAATAGACTTTAAAACAGCTTTGCTTGTGTACAAGTCTCTCCATGGCCTCGCACCAAAATATATTCGTGACATGTTAGTTCCATATGAACCAGCCCGGACTCTGAGGAGCACAGGGACTGGACTCCTGTTAGTGCCCAGAGTCAGAACTAAACAAGGGGAGGCTGCTTTTCAGATTCATGCTGCTAAAATCTGGAACAGTCTTCCTGAAGATGTGAGACAGGCCTCCCCTCTGACAATGTTTAAAACCAGGTTAAAGACAGTTCTGTTTAGCTGTGCATACAACTGAGGGATTTTATATTTTTATCTTTCTTTTTAATGTTCTGTGATTATTTATGATTTTAATGCTTTCTTATTTTGTTCAGCACTTTGAGTTGCCTTGTGTATGAATTGTGCTATATAAATAAACTTGCCTTGCCTATTTAAAATATGAATAATATTTCAATTTAAAATAATATATATAATATAATAATACACAGTTGAGGATGTAAACACGTTAATAGATTGAATGATTAATTGAAAGTAATAGTAAACATAATACTCAATAATGCCCCTAATGGGCATTCCCACGACAAATAAAAAAGATACTTGCATATTTTATATGGCATGGAGTATAATTTGGATCCGTTTTAAACTATTGAAGAATATTCAAAAGGATTGGCGGATTCTGTGGGTCTTTTACATTTCATAGCTTTTAATGTTAACAGCTAAAGGGGGGGACGAAAATGAGAGACAATAGGGAGTGGGAGTGACAGTATGTGCACAGATCCAGATCCAAAATGAACATTTCTCAGGGATTTCTTCAGCAGAAACACTCGCTTCACTAAGCCAAAATCCTTTTTTTCAGCACTGTACTACTTCAGAGGGTCAATTGAGCCAAAAAACCTCACCATACCTTTCCACAAATGCACAGAGAGATGGGTGCTAAGAAGAACAATAAAGAGTAACACTTTGGATGGATGTGGGAGGGACCGTTACCTTCGATGGTCAGGCTTTTCTTTTCATTTTAATTTCAAATGGCACACAGCTCACACAAACAGCGAGCTGGGATTGCGAATACTCTCTCACAGACTGAGCCGCCTGGGAAGGGTATTGTGGTTGAATGCCTTTCCAGTCATGCTCCATAGACAGGCCTTTGGCCTTCTTTCCAACTACCGGCTCTGTCAGCCTTTGCACCTGCAAGAGCAGACCTTCACTGCTCACCGCAATGCTGCAAGGGACAAGAGTGTAAATGTTGTGGAGAGGGATTTGAACCGCATTTTGTGATGAGGAATGGGACTGTCTGCTACCCTTAAGCCCAGATGGTGGGGTTCAAAAAGGGGACTAGACCACATCTTGGTACAATGTGGTGAGTAAAAACAAAGCCCAATTCAACTCTCATATTGACAAGAACTGTGGAACTATTTGGTCTCAAATGAGGTGCAAGGCTTAGTAATGTAACGAAAATGTAATGGAAGCAGCATAATATATTACAAAAATATTATTCTAAAAAGTTCATATAAAATAACAGTTTGTGTCAAAGTGACTGATTTCAATTACCAAGGCCTTTGTATTCTTTTTGCTTGTCACAGCACTTTTCACTCTTGAATTGTCTGTCCTCTTATCTGCCTTTTTAATCTTGCCAGCTGTTTTTTATCTTCTCTCTCTGTCCCCTTTTCTGTTGACAGCCCACCTATTGATTGCCTATGCCTTTGCCTCTGCAGATTCTGCCTATTGATCTTCTCTAACACTCACACATGCACTTTTCAGGTCCACACATTCATGTTCTCTCATCATAAATTTTATTTTTCACAGTAGATTGTATGGAAAACGTGAGCCATATATCGTATATTCATAACTATTTTGCATGTATACCTTCATATGCTTAATGCACATTTATTATAAGATGCTGTGCCTTTTGTTTGTTAGTGTCATTGAAATGATCATTTTTGTATTTGTTTGGGGCTAAATTTATGTATGATTTTGTTCTTTTATTGTTTGTTTCGGATGCTCTGGCCCCATTTGCAACCTTTTTCACCCAGCATCTCTGTCGATATGGCCATTCTGTCTGGCAATTAACATTGATTAGTTCTTGTCAATACCATCAGCACCCAGACAAAGACCCAAGGTGCACTG